TTTAGGAAGGCAGCCATCACAAGAGTTGGGTCCAGGTAGATCAAACCATGAGTGGAGAGAGAGGACTACCAACTGGCCATGTCTTTGACCCCATACCTAGGAGTAATGAGCCTCCACTTCACGTTCTGTGTGCTTATCACTGAATGAGAATGAGTGATAAATCTCTAACGCCTTATCCCATGCTTCTCAGGGCCACCCTCACGGAAACATAGTAAAGCATTAGAGTCATCCTCTCCTGTAAGGATCAGCTCAGAGTTAGCCCTGGTGGTAGACGTGGGCAACAAGGGCAGGGGTCTCTTTCCACACAACAGGCAAGAGCTCTGGAGAACTGAAGGAGCACACGGAGTAAAGATTATTTACCTGTTTGCCTGAATGTATGGAGTCAACTAAATTTTAGTGTTTCATCTATAATTTTTGAGATACACCCAAAGAGTTCAGATTCCTTTGGTGGGTCATTCTGTATCTGTTGGGTGTACTGACTGGTCTTCTTCCACACCTGACCAGAGGTAAGAAGGGCTCACGCAGGATATAATGGGATTATACTTCTTCAGGTCCTTTGTATGAGCACAACTCTTTAAAATGCCATCATTATTTATGACTATTTAAGAGGAGGAAATCATGGTACCGAAGGGGAAGTTTTACCTCATAAGGTTCTATAGCTAAAAGGAAATCCTTAGGCAAACCTGCCTACAAAAATGCAGTTCACTTAGTAGAGAGAACACCTGATAGTCACAACATCCAAATGACTTAATTCCTAACACATCACATGTTCAGCTGAGTCCAACCACATATCCTGAAGCAGTGTTTCTCTGCTCGATCCTCAGAATCAGCAACATATAAGAAGCCAACATCAACTCATTAACATGCATTTTCCAAGAGCATTAACCAAAATTTTGAGCCAGTAAGTAAAATTAGCACAACACTTAACATGAATATTGTATCTTTCCATGAAACTATATTTATACATCTTTTCATATCTTCTAAATACTCTTGTCAATTAAGAGTTCTCTGTTTTAAAGATAATCAGATTTAAAGAATAACAAGTTTATAAAGGGCCTTAAAGTTTACTAAGTACTTTCACTTAGGTGTCTTATTTTATCCTCAGTACAATTCTGAAAGTCTTCATTTTATGGTAAACTAGAGATTGAGAAATTATCACTAGGCTAATACCTGGCAGAGTGAGACTGAAACTCAGACTCTCTGATTTCAGATTTTTTTTTTTTTTAAGATTTTATTTATTTTTTAGAGAGCGAGCAAGAGAGAAACAGCATGAGAGGGGAGAGGGTCAGAGGGAGAAGCAGGCTCCCCGCCGAGCCGGGAGCCCGACGTGGGACTCGATCCCAGGACCCTGGGATCATGACCTGAGCTGAAGGCAGATGCTTAACCATCTGAGCCACCCAGGCGCCCCTCTGATTTCAGATTTAGTACTAACTCCCCATGAAGTGAATCAATACCCACATTTTTTGAAGGATTTCCTTTGTAAGTTCATGGTGATCTCAATCTTTCCATACTCCTTGTGTACTATATTATAAAATTAGGACTTCATTGGAAAGTTATTTTCCAATTATTTCACGTATCCCTGTCTTATCTATGCCATTCAAACACAAGCCTTTGATTACATTCTACTTTCAGGCATCCCTGAGCTTTGCATAGGCTGTTCCTACTGCAAAGAACACTCCCCTACCCCCAGACCCTACACAGGCAGGATCAATCTTCCTATTCAACAGGACCCAGTACAGGCCAGGGGTGGCCCCTTTCTACCTCTAGGAAACTTTCTCTGGCCTTCTCCACCCCTGTCCTTGTTTAGCGAGGAGACTACCCTGTGTGCTATGGGTCCCTGTAGCACCAGCATGGATGCCTGTGGTGGATTCATCCCACGCATTGCACTGCAAGTGACTATTCATCATATTTATCATGTTTCCCATTTGACCTTGGTCATCTTGAGAATAGGGATCTTCTGAACCTAGTACACAGTAGGCTGTTGATAATTAATAAATAAATAATCTAATAAATAGATAAGGTAACACAAAACCAATTACGGCAGTTAGGGTCTTTGAAGAGCTTCCAATCTCCTGGGGGAGAAAAGCCTGTAAATAGACCATGGTGAGCATCATGAGGAGCTATATTTCCTGGTACAGATGGGTACCAGGTGCTCTGGGAGCACAGACAGGAAGGAATTGTGCTGCCCAAGCAGCCAGCCCTCAGAGACAGTGAAGTTGAGCAGGGCCTTCAAGAAGAGTCGAAGGTCACCAACCGATGTGTATGGAATGAGAGGAGGAGGGTGGGAGTGGGTAGCGAATGGGGACGGCAGGCTTTAGTGGAGCTCTGTTTTGTTGGCTATACAGGAACCCCTTCTCTGGATGAGCTGCCCCTCTCTCTAGCCAACCTCCTGGTGCTAAGAGGAGCCACCAGTCATGGAATCTTGTTTTCCTTTGCACAGGGAACTTACCAGAGGTCTTACAAATTTCTCCAGCCTCACAGAGGAAGCAGATGGGAGAGTAAGACTGACGCAGAGAGAGAAGCTGAAGACAAAGTTGGAGGAAGTGTGTCATGGCAGCACCTGAGTCTCTGATTCTGGTAATTTCTGGAGTCTGGTGTACCCCTGCCCTTTCAGAATGTGGTTTTGTATCTCAACTAAATCAAGATGGGTTTCTGTCACTTGCAAACACAGAATCCTGATCAACACCAAGACCTTAAAAACTTCCCCCACAACAAGCGCAGAGATAGGCACAGAGTAGCTCCTCTCTATTCTATTCCTCAGATGGACCCTTTCCATCATCTAGTTCCATCCCTCTATTAAGTTGGAGACACAGGCTTAGGCACATTTCCAAAGCCACCCCCCAAACACTCAAAACAGAGTCTACACTAGAACCTGAACTCTCCTCCCAGAACAGTGTTTTGTTTACCACAGACTACTTCCTTGCCATTCGCTGGCTAATTAGCCTTAAGGTAAGAGGTAATCTTAGGATTCATCTGTGGTAAAAATAAATAAATAAATACATAAAAATGGGCAAAGAATTCATGATATGAATATGAGGTGAGGACATTATTGTTTTTTAATTCATTCAACAAATTGCCCCTGACATGCACCTGCCTCCGTGATACGTTGGTATTTTGAAACAAACAAGGCATGCTCCTCGACCTCAAGTAGCTCACCAAGGAGAGTGAAAAACAGTCCGGCTTACCAGATCTCATGTGCCCTCAAGTTAGCCATCTGCGAGATTATATGCTTATGACTTTTGCAATTGCTAAGTCCTTTTGAACCAGTTATGAGCCAAACAAAAATGTCACCTCATAATTTCATAGCTGCATTTAAATTCACTTTTAATCAAAAATGGTATCATTCAGCAGGACCAATTAGATATGGCATTTGGGTCTTTGAAAATGCAAAACATCTTGCAAAGACAAGGATTTTCCCCTACTAAATATACACAAAAGAATATGCTCTAGGTTCTGAGGCTAGGCAGCATCACTACCCCAAAGGAAACCGAAATTCAGGATGGGTAAACTTTTACGAATTGTTAAAATAATGAGTTCTAGAATTTATATTAAATTTCCAGACAGGCACATATGTGCCCAGAGGCAGGTGCCAGGATCACCTTAAGTCACCTTGAGTCCCTTCCAGCTCTGTGATTCTGCAATTGCTTATACTGGATCTCTCCAAGTCTGTGATGGGCTGAAGAGCTATTCCTGTCCTAGTTCTTTTCCTTATATAGGTCAAATCCCATTCCAACGAGTACCATAACAATAACCACCTCATGGCCTGGTTACTTTAGACAACCTGATAAAATGAGAATCAAGCATGACCTCCAAGCCAGAGTTGGCTGATACAGGGTTTGACCTGAATATTATTTAAGCAAGGAGGGAGCCAGTGTATTTTTTATCTTCATGGCATTGGGCCATTGCAGAACACTCAGACGGAAGGTGCAGAAAAATTGTCAGTGAGTCCAAACCACAGCACTTGGTTTCCTGATGGACACTGAAAAATAAGAGTGTCTGGGGACTCGATTCTATGAGTCTCTATGTGAGAACAGTATCCATCTTCTGCCTGTCAACTCCAGCCAAAGAATGTCCAGGCAACTTGTACATCTTACTGCGGGTCTATATATAAGCCCTCTTGTCATGTTGAGTACCCCCAAACCTGAGCCTTCTTCCTCCATTCATGCTTCCTTTTGTCTATGTTTTTCTTTCTTGGAATGAAGTGCTAGTTTCTGCTTTCTGAAATGTTCCTCTATAAGAATGTAAACTCCCGGAGGGTAGAGATTCGCTTGTTTGGTTCCCAAGTGTATTTAATATTGGATCTTCTTTCTAGAATGGAAACTCCACAAAACCATGAAATCTCACATCTAGAACAATGCCTGGCATATAGGAAGTGCCTGAAAATTATTTGTTGAATGAATGATAAACAGTTTAGGACCCAATGCCAAAGCCACCCTCCCTCTCTCAAAGCAATTAGGGGTCTTTCCTCTGACCCTCTGGTACTGTTTGCATTTCTTTATTATAACATTTGTCAGATACTCTACCTCTTCTTTATGCTGTATCTGTTTTCCCAGCTAAACTGGGGAAGATTTTAGGGCAGGAACTATGTTTTATAACTCCACATTCTCTGTGCCTAAAACAGTAAGAGTTCAATAAATGCTCAGGGCTTGAACGACTGAAAGAATGAATAAAAATATTTCCCTTATAACAATGAACATTGAAGAATTATGATTTAACATCATACCTCAAATTTTGCCTGGACTCCAGAGCTTTCCAAGCTGAAGAAGCTGTGAGTCACTGGGCTTGGAGGGGAGGGGTGTTTGTTTGTGGAGGGCTTGTTTCCCGACCTCGATGAATCACACGTATAATCACCCCAACTGCATCCTGTCTGGGGAAGTAACCAAAACCCCTATTTCTGGCCCCAATGGCTTTTTGGTTTTATGAGTAAATGCCACTGGCATGCCATTAAATAAGTACCCTCAGAAAGCCCTCAGCCAGTGCTATAACCTACGATAGTCAGGTTACAGAGGAGCAGTCTCATGAGGAGAGCACAAGATGAAGGTGTAACCTTCTTCATCCTCCTTGGCCCATTGCTTTAGCTGCTCACTGGTGACCTGGCCTCCAAGACCTTTCCAAACATCTGTTACATCTTTTTCCAAATCACAGGTATGATCATGCAATTTTCCTGCAGAAAAACATGGGCTGATTCTCATCATCCACATAGTAAAGACCAAACTTCTTAACCTACATTTCAAGGCCCTCTAGAATCTGACTCTGACCTTCTTCACTGACCTTACCTTCCTCTACTCCTGTGTAACCAGATGCTTCAAATAGAGTGAATGGTTTTCTGATCACATACAAGTCCTGTGCTTTGCTCTATGACTTTGTTCTCTCTGCTTGCTCCTAGAATGCCCACCTACTTCCATTTCCAAATGTCTAAAACCCATAGATTCTCAGGTCTCGCAAAATGCCACTTCTTCCACAATGTCTTCAGTGACTGTCTAATAAGGAAAAACAACTTCTCCTTTGAGCATGCTCGGATTTTATTTGTCCTTCCATTCCGTTGCTTTTTTCTAATTTGTACTACAGACACAAATGCACATGTTCATTTCTCTAGTAAATCAGTTATTAGAATATCTGAATCTTAGTCAACGTGATAGTCCTTCCACTCCTCACAGCACCTACCACAGTGAACACTCCAGATAAAGGTTGCCTGAGTGAAAAAACTGAAATAGCTCAGTTTTTTCAAACCTTATCTTTGCCTTGGAATCTTCAGGGAAGGTTTTTTGTTTTGTTTTGTTTTTAAAGATTTTATTTATTTATTTGATGGAGAGAGACACAGCGAGAGAGGGAACACAAGCAGGGGGAGCGGGAGAAGGAGAAGCAGTCTTCCCGCAGAGCAGGGAGCCCGATGCCGGGCTCGATCCCAGGACCCTGGGATCATGACCTGAGCCAAAGGCAGATGCTTAACGACTGAGCCACCCAGGTGCCCCAATAAATAAGATCTTAAAAAAAATTTTCTTAATTCTCATTCTTGTGTAGTATTCCATTGTGTGAATATAGCATAATATATGCATTTTATTTTTTTTTTTAAGATTTTATTTATTTATTTGACAGACAGAGACACAGTGAGAGAGGGAACACAAGCAGGGGGAGTGGGAGAGGGAGAAGCAGGCTCCCCGCAGAGCAGGGAGCCCAATGTGGGACTCGATCCCAGGACCCTGGGATCATGACCCGAGCCGAAGGCAGACACTTAACGACTGAGCCACCCAGGTGCCTATTCAGGGAAGGCTTGACGTAGGAGTGTCTTCTTCTCATCTCTCTTGTTGTCTCCCTTACTTCCGTTCTAAGAAAGCATAAGATTAAGAAAATCTTTGGTCTCTGCAAACAATGTGTTTTAGATCTATGGCTCTCAAAGGCAAGGTCTTCCTTCCAGGCATCCTTGGTCCTAGTATCCATCACCTCATGGCCCACCTTGCTAGTAGATGAAACGAGCTCAGGGGGAGAAGTATAATTTTGATAACAAACCGAGTAAATCAGCACGTAATTAAGAGAGGCTTTGCCATTTCAAAAAGCAAACTTAAAAAAAAAAAATAGCATATTCTAAAAACAAAGACGTCTCTGTTTCTGGTTGTTGCAGAATATCCATGCCACAGTGCCAATTTCGGGGTGGATACATTCCTTCAGTATGGATAAATGAGAGTTGAGGCAATAAAGCTTAGCTTTGTTTGACTGCAAAGCGTTTTTTCCTCCTTTCTGTTCATTAGTATTGCTCTGGTGATGGGAAGAGGGACATAGAAGCAGAATGAGTGTAAAATCACCCAGGCCAAGGTCAGATAAAGAGGGAACGGAATGTCAAGAGTATCGCTTCCTCTCCGCTCCTATGGCAATGACCACATCTGGGGGCCTGAAAGAGATAGGCAACGGTGACCGTGGCTTCACAGCCACCCCCGCCACGGTGGCTCTAACAGCGGCCCTCAGGGCAGCGCCCTTCCCTCTTTGGAGGTCAAGGTCTGCCTACACCAGTTAATGGCCGAATGGCCACGGGGAAATTCGCACTATCTTCACCAGTGACAGGAGGATAATAATACCTGTTACAAAATAACACAGTCAGACTTGATAAACCGTAAAGAGCTCCTCAAATATTAGTTGGTGCTGTAAATTCAAAGGTAACTGTTGTTTTTTTTTTTTCATTACCCTACAACTGGGGTTGGCAAACTTTTTCTGTAAAGGGCCAAATAATACATACTCTAGGTCTCTGTTGTGGCTACTGGACTGCCTTTGTAGTAGGCAGGCAGCCACTGACAACATGGGAATGGAGAGCTGCGCTTTGTTCCAATAAAACTTTATTCGCAGAAACAGACGGCAGGCTGGATTGGGCCCAGGAGCCCTATTTGCAAATCCCTGCCCTACATCTTTGGGCAGAACGAACATCAGAGGCAGAGAGAGGGGCATATCTAAAATCCTTCCTGCTGTGGAGAATGACATTATCGGTTTTTCTGAGCAGTTGTCCTGAGATTTTCAGACATCTCTTTAAGGTACTTTTTGAAACAGAGTTCCTGTTTTGTACATTCATCTTCGTCACCATCAACATCATTTTGTACCTAATCTCGAAGTATTACCAGATCCTTAGTTGACCACGTCTACCACTTGACCACACTCTCTTCTGGGAAAGACAGCTCTGATTATTGTTAAAGAAAATATCCATCATAGTTGTGGTGAAAGGTCACTATATTTTTTAACAAATTGGTCCTTTGAGCAAGATGAATTTTAATGGATTGGTTTATTAACCTAAAGGTTGAACCAGGCTGAGAGTAACTGAATGATTTGTTCATAATTAGTATTATTTATAATTATTTTACTTGGGAAAAAATATCACCTTAAATGTCAGGATGTTTTGTTTTTTTTTTAATTGCTTCAGATGAGATTCATAATAATTAACTTTGCAAATGTATTTTTAAAAACTCATTTAAAAATATCTGAAGCTGCTGAGCGTCTTGTCTGGAAGAGGCAGATATTGATATTCATTACTAAGAACAGGGCAGAAATCAACCCATGTTTTTTGTTTATTTTTAAACCACATGAATTGTGTATCGCGGTCACTGCTGGACTCTAGAATTGCTGAAATGCTGATACGGTGCTGTGCTCATTCTTCTTCCCCATTAACTGTGCTCTCTGAGTGAGTATGCTGCGTGAATGTCGGCATATGTATTTTGCTCAAATATACATCTGCATATATTTTGTATCAAAAGGGGAGAGAGTACCTGCTGGAAAGAAGGAACGTATATATGTGTGCAGTGTCTTTAGAAAAACAGTCTGTGGACATATTATGCAGCTACGCACATGATTTAGAGAGGATATAAACTTTTTGAAGGTGAGTAGGTATATGACTTAAACTTAGCCTCTCTATCGATATTTAATTTATTAGTCAGCTGGGGGAGAAGAAAAGAAATAGAATACGCAAACATCGGGGGAAAGGCAGCTTTAAAATAATTAAGGTTGTGAAAGAGGGGGAGGTCACTAGCAAGGAACATGCAGCAGAACAACAAAGATGATGCCTTGTAATTATATAACGCTGTAGAGTTACAAGCTTCTGGTGTGTTCAGGTGCGATCTCATGTGTGCCTCCCACGTATAGTTGGACGCAGTAAGAAAGGGCAGTAGTAGCAACTTCATCTGGCAGATGGAAAGAGAAGGCTCAGGGAAGTCAAGGGATTTGCCCATGGTCCACACTACCTTCCCCAGACAGCACATTGCTTCTGGAACCCAAAGAAAGGGTGAATGGGTCCACAGGCATCAAAGCCAACTCCAACCTTCGTAGGCTGATGGAAAGAGCCTGACCCAGAGTGTAGACCCCATTTCCCCATCTGAGACACTTTAATGAATAAGTAACGAGTAGTCTGGAAAGAACGTTCCAGGCAGGGAATATGGCGGTGGGATTATTAACACAGCCTCTTATTTGCTTCTTCCAAGTATAGTCTGATCATTTGCCTGAGACACATTGTGACATTTACTGGAGCAACACAGTGTCGAGGACACAGACAAATCACTCGTCCAGATAGCCAAGCAGGCACCATCAATCATTATCTGAACGTTTGTGAACTAGAAAAGTGTAGCAGAGGCCCGCAAAGAGAACATTTGGAGGTGGCTAAAAGGGAAAGAACACAAAGTTCCCCACTTATCTGCCAAAGGGGTTACTCTAAAAAGTGATGTGGCAATTAGGGGTCCTGTACTTAAATTTTCCCGCAAACAGTACACACATGTCCCTCCAAAGCTCAGGAGGAAACTACCCTGCTGAGAAGCATAAGGGTATATTAACTGATTAATTATTATTAATGCCATCTTTTATTTAGCTAGCATTTATAATCTATTAGGAGCATTAATTCACATTATCTTACTTATTCAATCCTCAGAAAAAATCCTATAAGGCTCATCAGTGATATATTATTATCTCCCTTTTATAGACAAAGAAAGAGGGGGATTTCGACGTCTCCTTGCTTAAGCTAATCTGGCTAAGTGGCAGAGTGGCACATCTGACTCCTGGTCCATTACCCAGAGCAACTGTGGGAGCCTGGAGGGAAGAAGGCGAACGTCTGAGACGGTAGTTGGGAGCAGAGAGAACCTGAAAAGGCCATCAGACCAGAATTCCTTCCAGTTTAGGGAGTCCGGAGTCCGGAGTGGGTGTGGCTCTATGACACACAACCCGAAGGCTTGGATGGACGTTCAGGCATGTACCTACTCACTTTGAATCCTCTTGTGCAGCTGAGCACTGGCGCTCAGACTCGGCCTCTCAGGTCCTGTGAAGTTTCTGGGCGGCAGAGTTGGAACCAACTTCAAACTAGTTTAAGTCTCTGAGTCAGTTCACAAACCCTCCCTCTCCGGCTCCGGCTCGGGCTCCGTGATCAGCCTTTTGCATCACATCCTAGGAGCGTTTCTGTTCTTTTGCGCTCCTTTTGGGGGCTCCTCCCTCTGCTCTCCCTCAGTCTCTCTGCACTGCCTCCCCCCCGCAACAATCTCTCCTGACCACCCCGTGTCTACTCCACCCGCCTTCCCACCATCAGGGCCTCCGTGCCTCTCGGCCACCCCCCTCCAGCCCCCCCCCACCCCCCGCCCATAGTCCTCTCCCGGGCACCTACCTGGGCTCTGCAGCCACAGGCACCTCCTTGGTTCTGTCTGTCTGTCTGGGGCCGCCTGCCTCCATCCAGGGCCTGGGAGCCATGAAAGTCTTCAAGCTCTTTGTTACTTTTCCTCCTTCGTTTATCTTGCTAGGTAATTAATAGCAAACAATAAAAGATGGCATCAGCTGTGGTGCTCGGCTGCAGCCTCCAGAAGTGTTATCTCAGACCCCAACATTGCAACAAAGAAATCTCACAGTTGGGTCAAGCGCGAAAATCAGAGGACAGGAGGAGAAAACTTCAGCTTCCCAAATTCCACTGCCCTCCGGGGGCTCCCCCTTGTGGGAGATGCGGGGCATGGCAAGGCAGGACCCGGTCGGGCCGGTGCCTCCGCGGGAGGAGGGCCAGAGAGCAGAGTGCACGCACCCCAAGGCTGTGGAGTCCGGCCCCAGGCACGAAGAACCGGCCTCTGTGTGAGGTGCAGGGCTGAGACCCTCCGTAATTAATCGGGGGACTATTCGGGCGAGACAGAGCTCTCCGTGCCTGGAGGTCTCTGAGTCCAGGTGAGTGTGGCCTGAGTCACGGGCTTGCACAGCGGACGCTCTGTATAGGAAGTGGTGATTGGCAACCATTTGCCTCCGCTTCATTGTCCAGTTCCCTCCCTGGCACAGATGTATCATAAAGTCGGACATTCACACGGGGCTGTTCTGCGGAGACAGGCGTGGTCTCCGCCGTCTGAGTCAAGAGTGAAGGTCCAGTCTCCTGGACTCTCACCAGTGTGGGCACACGGCCTTTTGGAGACCTGGCAATGCAGGGCTCCCCACCTTGGTGGGAACAGACTGTATGTCCAAACAGTATCTTTCCCGGGAGAGACAGAGTCTCATTCATTCTCCCCTACCCTGGCAGGCAGGTAGGAAATCAAATATATTAATTACTCTTTCTGCAAACAGAACCAGAGGCTCAGGCAACCAAGTAAGGTGTCCAAGGCACTAGGAAGACTGTCAGTGGAGTTAAGGCCTAGCTTTCCTGCCTTCCCCCTGCTCGGTGTGTCTAGACTACATGCTCTGTCTCCGGAGAGAAGGGGAAATGATGCTCACTGCCCTTCCTCAGTGCAGGGCAATGAGCGGCACCATTAAGGAGTACCGATTGACTCCCCAGCCACGAGGACAGTGTGCTGGGTATGACACAGATAGAGAGTCCCAGACAGAGCTAGCAGGAGAGAATTCGTCATCGTGTGGAATGCAGGGGAAGCCACCAATGGCCTATCGGGATGCTCCTTATTTCCCAGAACTGGGGACTGGTAGTGGGGACTGAATAAAGACACTCTGCAGAAGAACAACAGTGCTATGTCCAGAGCTCACCACATGGGTTGTGCCACATGATTTCATTCCACCATCATACCGGTTCTGAGACCTTGGCTGTGAAGTTAGGTTGACTCCCATTTTATGGACGAAGAAACTGAGGTCAGAGTGGTTAATGGACCATGAAATAAGTGGCAGAGATTCGGATCAAACCTAAATCTATTTAAGCCTGGAGCTCTTCTCACCATATCGCATTGCCTCCGCAACTCTTCTAGCTGCCCTGGCAAGGGAACTCTGGCCAGGGGTGTCAACGTAAAGCATCTCCTATCAGTTTCAGCAAACCAAATCTCAAGCTGCTTCCCACCGATCCCTACTAAATTCTGCTAGTTCCCTGATGTTGGTGGCAGCTCTGTACTGAGTCGCATGGGAAGACTGAGCTTGGAATAAAATCATAAAACTCCATGTATTAAAAACCTTCTTCACAGGCTCTTTCTCCATAAGCAATGCAGACACTAACAAACACCCGAGACAAAAGGAGCTATGTGCCACCAAAAGGATGATGATGATAAGTTGATTCGTGATATGGTTACTGATCATAGACTCAAGATCTATTTCTCAGACCTATATTGGGCTCTGGGCTAAATATGAAAAAAAAAAAAAAAAAAGCAACCAGCCTCGAAGACACTTAAACTTCGTTATAAACCCAAGTCAAGTGTAAAACAGCAATAAGGATTTGGAGAATTCAGGAAAGCTGCAAAAACAAACAAACAAACAAAAATCCCTTTCATGCAAATGGATCTAAAATTGAGGACTTTTGGCAATAAGAATGCTGTGAAGGAGGAAGAGAAGCCCAGACATTCTGCTCCAGGAGAACATATCAAGGGGTCAAGCACGTGAAGGACACTGTGTCAGGGGCTGAAGAACAAACAGGATGATGGATGGGGTGAAAGAGACTCTTGTTCCTCTTTGGGCTGGCCAAAGCATCCCATTCTGACCCTGTGCTAGACAAAATGGAGTACACTGAAAAGAGAGCAACCGAAGTATATATATGCCATGAGGAATTGGGAACCTGGAAATGTTCAGACAGATGAAAATAAAACTCCATATCAAAAATAATGGCTGTCCTCAACTATCCAAAGGGCTCTCAGAAAAGGGATGGGATTTTGCTCTACCGAGCATCAGGGAATGGACTGGAACCAACAGGGAGAAACTTCGAAGAGAATGCTGTTTTACTCACTAGAAGAAAAACATTCTGCTGGCTCAACACCAAATTGGAAAGATCGTTTCCTGTCTGGAGAAGGCTAGGAGGGCTCTGTCGTCAGAAGTTCTTTGGTCAAAGAGGGGGGGCATGCACACAGACTTACCGGACTGAAACCACTCTTGGGGATCCCTCTAGTTCTGACAGTGTTTAGGTCTATGATCAACCTGAGGTCCGAAAGGAAAAGCTGGAGAAAAGAAACACATGAAATCCTCACACAAAGCATTCAACTCCTACTGAGGGATCTCATGGCCTAATGCATTCAAAGATCACCTACATCCAGAGTGTCCTTGCTGCCTTTTCCTCTCTTTCCCTCGAATAGAATTATTTATTTTTACTGTCTCAGCTAATTCCAGTATTTAAGCACCTCTGAGGTGGGGCAAATGCCCTTCAGTAGAGGGGACAACAAAAGGAAAAGGTAAAACTCCTACACTCAGTTCAGTTTAAGGAGAATCTCAGGTTTTAGAAAAGATTTTTAGAGGTCATCTTGTTGAACACCCTCACCCCTCCTTTCTGAATTCATTCCATATCTTCCCCAATTGAATACCACCTGATCTCTGTTGGAAAGCCATCTCCAAAGCTAATTTCATCACAGGCCATTCTAATGGGGAGTAAGCAAAATGTACACATTCAAAATGCACCAGCAAGACATGGAAACAGAGGAAAAGAAAAATGGTACCATTAGTATAAAGACAGAATCTAAAGTGAATCAGGATTTTAAAAAGTCAGAATTGGAGGAAATTTTTAAAATATCACCTCTAGTTAAAACGTCACCTCTAATTCTACACGTTACTGGTAAAAGCGCAGGTGAGATTGTTGTGTGTTACACTGTCTTTTGCATGCGTGTGCAAGCCTTCCAGTGCAAGGTGGGGAGATAGGAGACTAGGGGCAAGAGAAATAAACAAGGTGAAGACTGTGGATGAGGAAGAAATACCACGGAGCTCTGAGGTCCTGGCAGGTGGCTTGTGTCTGGAATGGCTTCCATGTTGGGACCCAGGACAGGGCTGTAAATGCAAGTGGAAAGCTGGTGAGGTGTGGCAGATGAGAAAAATAGCATGTTCAAGAATGCACCTGTGTTTGAGCAGAGGAGACAGAGGGCCTTAAATGGATAAGGGAAAGGACACAGAGATTAGGGATGGAGGGGAAGGGAGAAACAGGAGATCAGTAAGGGAAATTTAAAGGTTGGAAGAAGTGAAGAGAGAGCCTCCAGGGAGGTCCAAGATACCTGGGCTATTTCCAAGACCATCTCGGGGTCTCAAGAGATGGTAAGAGATGGGGGTGAGGCTGCACGAAAGAAGACCCTAGGCACTGAAAGATGTGAGTGGAAAGAGGCAGCAAGGAAGCTGGACTCATCACAGGACTTGGTTTCTCCATTTTTCTGACTAGCTCATTTTTCTTTTTTTTCCTTAAGATTTATTTTATTTATTTATTTGAGAAATAGAGAGAGAGAGCAGGGGGAGGGGTAGAGGGAGAGAGAGAATGAGTGTGGAGCCTGACTTGGGGCTCCATCCCATGACCCCGAGAACACGACCTGAGCTGAAATCAAGAGTCGGACGCTTAACTGACTGATCCACCCAGCCGACACTGACTAGCTCATTTTTCAGAGGAGGGCAGTCAAGAGTACCTTCCTGGCTGTGGAGAACTGTTAATTCATCAGAAAAATCTGAATTTGTCCAGTGTTGACTGAACACTTCCCATATGCTCAGCTACGTCATAGAAATAGAAATCAAAATGCTACTAAAAAGTCATGCTGTCAAAGTCCGCAATAGCCAAACTGTGGCAAGAGCCAAGATGCCCTTCAACAGATGAATGGATAAAGAATATGTGGTCCGTATATACAATGGAATACTACTCAGCCATCAGAAAGGATGAATACCCAACTTTTACATCAACATGGATGGGACTGGAGGAGATTATGCTAAGTGAAATAAGTCAAGCAGAGAAAGTCAATTATCATATGGTTTCACTTATTGGTGGAACATAAGGAATAGCATGGAGGACATTAGGAGAAGGAAGGGAAAAAGGAAGGGGGGAAATCGGAGGGGGAGATGAACCATGAGAGACTATGGACTCTGAGAAACAAACTGAGGGTTCTAGAGGGGAGGGGGGTGGGGGATGGGCTAGCCTGGTGATGGGTATTAAAGAGGGCACATACTGCATGGAGCACCGGGTGTTATACGAAAACAATGAATCGTGGATCACTGCATCAAAAACTAATGATGTATTGTTTGGTGACTAACATAACATAATAAAACAAAATTAAATTTAAAAAAAAGTCATGCTGTCAAATATCCCATAGTAATCTGAATTACTATTAGTCAATTAACAGGCATTTGTCTAGTAACTACTATGGGCCGAGGGCCATGGTAAGCACTAGGAATGTAGTTGGGATGACTGGGGCCCACCCTCATGGAGGTCACAAATAAAGAGAAGGGAGGAGAGGGCAGCCAAGCATAAAAGAAACTGCAGAGAATTCTAGGGCGCCATGGAGAAAAATAGCAGACATAGAAAATTGGGTTCCTAGTTTTTACCTTTTTTTACATTAAAGAGATGTGAGAAGCCATAGAGAACAGGAGTAGTCAGTCCATAGGAAGTATCCCCAGTCAACTTCCCAGGGTCCAGAGGATGGTAGTGGATGCTGAGCCCAGCAGGGGACCATGGGGGCAACTGGTGGGGAGCCAGACTGGGCAAGAAGACCGGCTCTACCTCTCAAGGGAAACAGCGAGACTCGGAATGGAAGGAGGAAGCCTCCTACTCGAGATCTTCCCTGCTAGACCCCACTCGCCCTGCCTGGTCTGGCCAGTTCAGTTGCTGTGGCCACCACCCGTGGCTAAGTGAAAAAAAGGTCCCTAAGAAGCCTCTCTGATTTCCTGAATTTTCTGTCCGTCTTGCTTTTCTACTTGGGTTCACAGATGAGCCCGCTCCTCTCATCCACCCTAAACGCCTGTTTCAGGGAAGCGTTTGCATTTTCCTTGGCACACACACACAGTTTGCTGAGTTCTTTTAGGCCAGGCCAATTACAACAAGCCCTAAAATTGCTGAGCTGAGCGGTTTCTTCAGGGATCTGCTTACATTCCCTCCCTGGAAAGAGCAGGGGGCCCACTTTGTGCAGTCTCTGCACACAAAAAGGGCACGTTCCACTTTTAAGGTGGAGTAGGCATGGGATGCTTTTACCAAAGAGAGAATGAGGCACGACCAACTTTCACTTTGGCTTTACATTGCTTGACTGGGTTTCATGCTATTTAAGATGGACAAGAAGGCTCAGAGTCAGCTCCCTTGAAGACTGTCTTGAGAAACGGCTAGGGAAGCTTTTAGTGCAAGCCCCATGGGATCTCGAGTTGGTAGAAGGTTTTATATGTGCCAATACCCTCTCACAACATTGCAATTACATTTTTGTAAGTTCTGGTTTGGGGAGGAAGATGGAGTCAGTATATAAATGACGAGCTATATGTAATCAGGGAGGGATGTGTTTGGACAGAAATAATCCAATTCCACATGGGGATTGCTCCAAAGTTGCTTTTTTTTTTTTTTTCTGATTTGGAAATTTTTATAGGACAACTTTTCATGAAGTTTAGGTCCCAGTTTATTTTGTCTTATGCTAATATCAGAATGCATCCCATTCCCTAGGTATCCCTAGCTGAAAGGAGGACATGGAGGGGTATCTTAACAGAAGCATGTCAAGCAGTGCCACAGTCTGTTTGGAATTTAAAATTATCCATGAATAATTCACAAAGCATGTAATCCATGCGCAGATCACTGAGAACTGACTGCTTCTCAGAGGTGCCTGCAAGATCAGCCAAGCAGCCTTCCAATGACAACAACAACAACAAAATGATTATTGAAGTGTATCCTCAATTCTTGGCATCAATTCATGGCTAATGCAGGCAAGAGTACTGTAGGTTCATGCTCCAAGTCTGAAGGTATTCTTCAGATTGGAGAAACTGAGTCTCCCGGAAAGGAAAATCTGAACTGTTCTCACAGGCCAAGATGACCTGCATGTGTTCAGAGATACCTAGAGCAGGCATTCAGTATAGAATGTTCTTACCCAGACAGAAACAAAAGGGTTCTGAGGTCAAACCCACCATTTTTAATTTAGAAGACAAAGAAATCAGGGCAAATCCAATTCACAGATGGGTAAATACGTTCTAGGAACCTAAGCTGGCTTCAGTGCTCTTATCCAAAAGCCTGGCATTATGAGCAAGAGGGTTAATGCTGGCACCCCTCGTAGGAATGAGCTTCCCTGGGAGCCCCAACTCTGTTTCACCCAGAAGCTCTCCAGCAAGTTCCAGTCCCCCTGGGGACTGGCAATGGAAAATAACCACATCCCTGTGCTTCGGAGGAAATTTTATAGACTGAACTTTCCCTGACTTAACTATAGGGATGCTTAGTTTTCCTCTACCAACTAATGAAGTGTAGATCCGAGCATTTTCAGCCAAGGAAAGAAAGGCCATCCTGGGCTAAAGGCAGCTTTCTTTCTTTCTTTTTTTTTTTAAAGATTTTATTTATTTATTCATGAGAGACAGAGAGAGAGAGAAGCACAGGGAGAAGCAGGCTCCCAAGGAGCAGGGAGCCCAATGCGGGACTCGATCCCAGGACCCTGGGATCATGACCTGAGCCGAAGGCAGACGCTTAACCATCTGAGCCACCCAGGCGCCCCAGGCAGCTTTCAAGGTGGAAAACCAAATGGGGTATGAGAAGAGTCAGATCGCTTGTCTTTAATTAAGAAGACAGCTAGACCCTCAAGAGCTGTTCTTCAGGGGATTTCATAGGTTCCTGCCCAGAGACCAAACTGGATCATAGAAAGAGGAACCCCTCCGGGCTTTTCTTTTAACGGAAGAGCTTTAGTCATCTGGGTTTTGCCTAGCCAAAGAATATTCTTTCTTGTCCTGAAGTCAGCATAAAAGAATGTGCCGCCAGGTTATCTGAGAGGCTCCAGGGATATGCCAGTGAGACAAGCCCACTGTTCCCATGCTGCAATCTTTAATCGTGGAGCCCAGGAAGATGCCAGGTTCACTCCACCTCCCAAGGCCTTCTGTCTTCAGGTGGCAGAACAGCAGTGAACATAGAACTTAATTGCAAGTCATTCCTCATTTTACTGTTAAAGCCAAGGAAATCTGGTATCAGAGCCCTGGATTTATGAGTCGGGAAATGGTGACAAGACAAGTGAGGGTGGAAAGAATTTAAAAC